AAAGTATCATAAATAAAAGAGTCAGAAACTTTATTCTAATCATAAATGTTGGGAATATAACAATACACCACAGATGAAATATAGTCTCTTCTACTTTTTTTAAGAAACCACATTTTCTCAGTAGTGTTTTCTTAAAAGAAAACTAACTTTTACATAGTTTTTCGTTTTGATCATCATCTTCCCTAGTTTGTTTTACCAGCACAGCAGTTCCCGTCCATTGATAATCTGTCGTGCCAATCTTCCAATTTATTTACTCTGACGGGATAGATGTCATATATTTTTATTTTAATTTGGAATGACACATTTGGCTTCATGAACCAGAAGCTCTGTACAAATTTTTGGATGTACATTATCTATAAAGAAGAATCTATTACATCACCATGGAAAAGTAAAACAACAACTCACTATCATTTCTGGATGTTTTAATCACACATGATAATACAGGATATGTAACTAAAGATTGCATTCAACCAACCCACACCAACAAATATTTAAATTATCACACAAATCACAACATAAATATCAAATTAATATCATCAAATCACTATATCATAGAGCCCAAAACACCTGCTTAAGATTTTAACAAAAAGTGATTATTCATTGTCATTTATAAACAAGAAATTCCACAAGATTGAAAAAAGGAAAGAACCAAACACCCAAAACGATACAGAAACGTTCATAAGAAGGGATTTAAATATACCAATTGTACAATTGTATTTGCTAATGAGAATTAGCAATTGTCCAAATGTTTATATATAGTTGCTGGTATAATATAATTATATGGTTATTTATATCATTTTATGTCGAAATATGTCAAATGTAAAATTGATAAATTAATATCAATCTTGTGTGTATACGCAAATCAAATTACGGTACCTGTGATGTTGATCTAACACTTCTGGTTGTACCACAGTGCACTGGGTCTGGGGGACAGACTCTCCTTTAAGTTGAGTCGTGGATTTTACAAAAAGCTGGAGTGTTTATCGCTTTGGTGGTTTATACAAGACTGGGGTGCATGTAGTCGGAAATATATAATTATAATTAATTGATGGATTTGACCGTTACTTGATGGAAATTCATTTTATGTAACAATAAAACACTGAAAACTTTGTTTTCAAACTTCCACAAAAATTTATTTGAACTCTTATCACTACAGCTGTTTCGGCTGATTCCCTTTCTCAACTGATCTATTTTTTGCATGCGTTTACACTTTATAGTCTCTAATGAAATAGGTTGAGGAGGATTTGTTTGTCTCAAGTTGGTCATTCAGAATTATATCTGTGTTTTTTAATATGTTGATTTCCATAAATTCTAACAAGGATAGCTTAAGGCCTTTATTTTGAATGTAAAGAATTTTAAATTCGTCGTTAAAAGAATGATTGTGATCTAGGGGGTGAAGTGCGTATGTAGAACCTGTTTTTCTATTATTGAAAGCCCTTTTATGTTCTGCTATTCGTTTGTTAAAGTTTCTACCAGTTTGACCATTCTTAAATAATCAAAATATTGAAATTTTACACAAAGATCCGACAGAAATATATCAAAAACAAATTAAGCTAGCGTTAGAAAATTCAAAATCAATAGTAAATCCAATAGAACAGAAATACCTCAATATCATGAACCCACAGCCTCCTAAATTATACTCTTTCATTAAACTACACAAACCGGATCACCCAATAAGACCTGTAGTTTCTTTTTATACTGTTCCGTCATATAAACTTTCAAGAAAACTGTTAGAGATTAAGTATTTTAGAACACACTAAATTTTCACCTAAATTTACCATAAAAAATACAATAGAACTAGTTAATAAAATACAACATTTTCAATTACCTAACAACTCCAGATTAATTTAATTTGACGTAAAAAATCTTTTTCCTAGTATCCCTCCTACAGAAACTTTTATTCTAGTAAAAAACCTTTTAGACCAAAATAGTACAAATCCAATAATTACATCTGAAATTTGACATCTTCTTGAAGTTTGCATAAACCAGGACTACTTTGAATTTAATTAATCCAATATATACAAATAACAGTGCAGGACTTATAATGGGCAATCCTCTAAGCCCATTGCTATAAGATATTTTTATGGATCATCTAGAGACAAAGATTTCAAAACATCCCGTATTTAAACAGTTTTTATATTGGTGGAGATACGTAGACGACGTACTAGTATGTTTCACAGGAACTAACAGGCAACTCAACCAATTTTTATCGTACATTAATTCACTTCATAGTCATATTGAATTTACAATAGAAACAGAACAAAATCAATCTATAAATTTTTTAGATTTAAAATTATCAGATTTAAAAACAAACATGACTTCTCAATATTTCACAAACCTACCCATACTGACACGACTATACACAATTCATCATCCCATCCAACACAACATAAACTGGCAGCATATCATAGTACGTTACATAGATTAACAGAAATTCCGATGTCAAAATACAACTTTGAGACAGAATTAAATATAATTAAGCAAATAGCAGTAAACAACGGATACAATGAACAAACAATTAATAAAATGTTAAATCAAAAACTACACAAGAAAGCCCTGAAATTAGTATTTCCACCACCAGAGAAAAAACCCAGTACCTTCTGTTCGATTACATATACAGGCAAAATTACAACAAAAATAGCCAAACACATAAAAAAGAAAGAAATAACACCAGCTTTCCGAACAAATAACAACCTAGGCAAATATATCAAAAACAACAAGAGCCAAACTAAAAAACACTTACACAGTGGTGTGTACAAACTTAAATGTGGCGACTGCCCAAAAACTTACATCGGTCAAACTGGTAGAAACTTTAACAAACGAATAGCAGAACATAAAACGGCTTTCAATAATAGAAAAACAGATTCTACGTAAGCATTTCACCTTCTAGATCACAATCATTCTTTTAACGGCGAATTTAAAATTCTTCACATTCAGAATAAAGGCCTTAAGCTATCCTTGTTAGAATCTATGGAAATCAACAAATTAAAAAACACAGATATAATTCTGAATGACCAACTTGAGACAAACAGTTCTCCCCTCCTCAACCTATTTCATTAGAGACTATAAAGTGTAAACGCATGCCAAAAATAGATCACTTGAGAAAGGCAATCAGCCGAAACAGCTGTAGTGATAAGAGCTAAAATAAATTTTTGTGGAAGTTTGAAAATAAAGTTTTCAGTGTTTTATTGTTACATATAATTATAGCATTTAATTGATATTTAAAACAACCAACACACTGAGATCTATTCTTTATAAAACCAAACTGAACAACACACAGGAGATACCAAATAACTGCATTTATAAAATACCTTGTCAATGCAAGAATGTATATATGAGAAATTTCAATATCACTAAGTGTATGTGAATTTGCTTATGGCCTCAAAATTGCAATTATCTAAGCTACCGTCTGATCAGTTTTGCTATCTTTATCACTACTGTTTGGAATCAATAGATACTTTTTTTTCAGCTTCAACTAGCTGAATTCAGACGAAGGTGCTGGGATGGAAGAGGGGTTTCTAAACTGATACCTATAAGTTATATATAAATCATGTGATCTAGGTTGCCTATCCAACATCCCTTTAAATTTCCAGATTACCCTAGCTAAGCTCATACCAAAAATATATTACATGTTGTTTTTAAATTGATAAATATTGGGCAAAAACAGAAAAGCTATTTACAAATATTTAATGTAAAGTTATAATAAAAAAATATCGAATTACATATTGTTATACAATAACTGTGATGCACTACCAAAACAAAAAAGAAAATTTACAGTACCTATGTGAATGTTAATATTGTTCTTAACTGACCAACATACAACCACTAAATCAGATCATTGATGAATGTTTTCCTCTCCTACTACTTCCAGGAACCCATAGATTAGCAATCCTTCGAATTGGGTGATTAACATCTCTATGATGAACATGACCAATTGTTGCCAAGATGAGAGAGCATCTTAACTGATGCTCTCTCATCTTGGCAACAATTGGTGCCATCCCCATTATATACTCATTCCTAATTTTATCCTTTTTTGTCACTTTTTTTGCTTTCACTATTTCCTACTAACACTACATTATCTATATACAATAGAAAATAAAGGGAAACAAAGAAATACAATAGGAAGATTGAAATGAACAAGAAATGTGTAAAAGTTAATTAGTCAAATTTAGAATGATTTACAGGGTAGTCAAACTTTTATTTAAAAGATGATAAAACAAATGAATAGAACTGAAAAATATACTAACCACTTAGCAAAAATCAATGCAACACTGAGAATCTGTGTCCCTAGCAGATATACTATAGCAGATATACTTAGCAGATATACAAGAAATAATTATAACAGCTATAAAGACTTTCTGTAAGAGTAAGTTTCATGTATAATAAGAATAAGTCAACTGGCAGCAGGATGACCAAATTACTTTAGACATCATCCACAAAAAAAAACAGTTTAGAACTAAAAACCACTCCTTACAGAATAGTAAAAAAGCAACAGGGTAATTATTATGTTATTTTGTATAGGATTATTTGAGACTGTTAAAACGGCTGATATGCGGTAACGTTGTCCAGGTCGTTCTATAAAAAGTCATGTTTATGTTTATGTACTTCTCCCAAATTTGAAAAAAATTATTAAATTTGTCAATACTTTCTGACACATTACAATACATTTCAGAAATGATAATTTTCAGTGAATATTGTGCTCATTCCTTATATTTTTTATAATTACTAATAAAATAGGACATCATATATTGTATGATATAATTGAAATTTTAAAATAACACATTTCGAGTAAAATTTCGATAAAAATTCATTACTTATTCACTACTAAAACTCCGTTATACGGAATAGTAGCCACAACCTATTACTAATCCTTACAATTACATTATAGGTTAGGTTAGGGTTGCTGATAATCAAGATAAAGTAATCAAATAAAAGAGCGCTATTATCAAATTTGCAACATATTGTATTGATTTTTCTTAAGGAAACTGTAAAATTCTTACCTTAATGCTCTTCTATCTCCTGTATAACCAGGTGGAATGAGGCTATGATTTATTTCCACTATTGGAGACTTAAAAATTTCATTGATGTTGTAATTAAACTCCATTTTTAACTGTAAAACACACTTTTATCATACAAAAAGTACTTTTCCTATTGTGGCACACGGTTTCTTAATAAAAAACGAAAAATTACACTATTTTCGATGATTAATTTTGAATATCAACACTTTTTCATTAACTGTTTGACATTTATAATGTTAAATTTTTGTTTTACAAAGGTGACTGCGTGCGTAGGCTCCAGTCAGCGTGACGATAACCCGTTAGATATACTCTGTTTTCGTGTTGTGTTGCAGGAAAATAATTATTTCTGCTTCTAGACTCTTTACACTTTACCGATTTCTGCTGGTGATTGTGTGCTCCAGTGTTCATGAAGGTTGGGGTTTCCTCCTTTGAAGTGCGACTGCTCTTCTGTAAACGAGTGGCGTAGCGTTAATTGATTCTAGGAGGGTACGCACAAAGAATGCCCATTTTTTGTGACCTTAAAGTAAATACAGGCCTAATTTTAAGGTTTTTTATGACTCAAACTATTGCGTTTTATGTCCAAAAATAAAGAATGATATAAAAATCAACTGTGACATAACTGTCTGACTAATAACAAACGAAAATAAAAACAAATTATAAATATCAATGATTTTTACTATTAAATTGTGAGAACATATATTATTTATTTATAACCTAAAAGGCCTGTTGGACAAATAAATAGCGCAAAAAATTACACATAAAATACTTAACTTGACGGTATGCACACCAGGATACGTTATTTATTAAAATGTACTTCCTTTATATAAACGTAAGTTTCCCGCGAGCTTTTAAACGTACCCTCTCCATATAGCATTCGGCTAACCAATAAATTAAATTGAATGTGATAGGTACCTATCACATTGAGACGTGCTCAAAATGGTTAAATGGATTCCAAAGAAGGTGTTAGCACGTGTTAGTTTGTGACTTGTTTGTGTCATTTGGTAAGTAAAATAATTTTTTATATGTTATTAGTTATTGTATGGATTGGTAAACTATAATTATGGTTAATTAGGTCTTCAGCAAATAATTGTATAAAATAATATTTATGATTTCTATATAAACAAACAGATAGGATCACTTTGAAAAGTAGTATGTCTGAGGACAGATTGCCAGGTATGCGGCAATTTAGTTAGTATCCTTAAATATGTATTCATAGATAAATAATATAATAGATACTGACGAAAATGGATTGAGTATATTTTTGGATACATTACCCGGTATACGGACAAATACTAATTGCTTCTTACCTATTACATACTTATTGAGTCCATTAGAGGATTAACAGAAAAGTGATATCGTAGGTCGGAAACTTACAATACAACAATTCCTACTTCTCAGTATTAATAGCTCAAGTATACTACTAATTTTTATATTGTAGACTTCTGTCTTTGAAAAACCAAGAATTATTCTAAATAGTGGGGAAGTAGGTATATACTAAACCCATCAAATTTTGGGTAGTAGTATATTTAAAAAATATATTTTAGTTGTTATAATTTAGCATAACCATTTATTATATGGCGCAGATAAATAAATATTGATTATCGGTCATTCGCAAAGTTCTATTTTATTTACTATTTAGTTTGTTTACTATTTATATTGGCTATGAGTATGTGAGCTTGGTTGTATATACTCCATCTAATTTACTTACCGTTGCACGTCATGATCATTGACAGAGATCGAAGTTGACATAGTTGCCAAAGTATAAAGAAATCCTGACTCCCTTTTAAATTAAATAGGTCACATAATTATTGCATTTCTTTACAACGACTATTTAAATTCTTACGTGACATTTTTGAAAGAAAACACACTAATTTTGTTCTAAAAAGAACAGATTTTATTAAATAGGTAAAAATATAAAACAAGAGGTAGGTATTCACTTTAAAATTCAAAATAATAAAGTACAAAAACTGTCAACACCGCAACTGTCAAATAAGTGTTACCAATTTATGCCAAAATATCACCTTCGTTCGATTACAGTTACAGTGTGTTCCGAACGAATGTTTTTGATACAAACGCTTTATAATGCATTTATACAAATTAAATGAAACATATTATTGTGTATTTTTTTAAGTTAACAATAATATAACTCATTAAATAATATTTCTACGTGTATATAATAAAATATGTCTAGTGGCTGTAATGCCAGTGTACTCGGCAAAGCGATTCTAAAAAAGAACACACCTACTGCCTAAATATTTCGTGTTGGTATCATGTGACCTCACGGACTATGATGCGGATGACGTGCAACGGTAAGTAAATTAGATGAAGTAGAGTAATTTCCAGCCACTTTTAGTCTGTAAAAAAGTAACTAACTTCGCAAAAAAATAATTACTAAATTCACTAGACAGTTCGGACTGGGAATAGCGAACCGAGTATAAAAACATTTGGTATATTATGCTTATAATGATTTGTTGTATAATTTTGCGATTTATGGTATTCCAGCTACAGGAATTTACTTTCCTCGTGGATTTTTGATGTATTGTATATACCTATCTACTCCAAAAGCTTGTGAATCATATACATAATATGTCCGGTCGACAAACCATATATATTTATATATTATTTTATTTTTTAGATAGTATCATCGAGAGCAAAAAAATGTTCACAATTTTAGAAAATACTACTCTTGAAGACAGTGACGATGAAGGTAATAGTAGTAATATTTTGATTCCACAAAATATATTGATTCTGACGCAGAGGAGGAATTGGAAGACTCTTCAATTCCAGTTAAGAAGATAATTGTGGAAAATATTCCAGATTTAAGAGGCACTAATACCTATGTCGACCTTGTTACCGTTAAAAGTTCTGAAGAGATAATAAGTAAATTTGATGTTTTATCTGATCTCCAGTTACATAGTGAAGAACTAAATGCAGTTATCGAAGAAGAATAAGGAATATAGTCAGTTAACAAAAAAAAACGAAGGAATACAGTCAGTAAACGAAGAATAAACACGTATCTCTAAAGAAGTAGCGAATGTAAGTAAATGTAAAAGCAACGTTCCATTGAACTTAATATCTAAACAAAGAAGCCCAGACAAAACCAACAAACCTAAGAAGAGTACACGACCGAAAAAAATAAAAACTTACAACTTTGATTGGTCCGAAGACAGCTTTGATTATTTAGTAGAGTCGCTTTCTGAGATTTTTGCAATGCCGGGAAAAATTGTCACTTCGTTAGAATATTTTGGTAAATTTATGGATAAAAATGTTTTAGAAATGTTAACAACCGCAACTAATAGGTACGTTCTACAATTAAACCAGGTGTCATTAGAAACAAATGTAGATGAAATTAAAGATTTTATTGCCTTCGAATTACTTAACGGTATAACACAAATGCCAGCTTATACGGACTACTGGAGTCGAAACTTAAGATATGACAAAATAGCAAATAATATGCAGCTAAAACGGTACCAACAGCTAAGAAGAAACTTACATTTTACTAACAATGAACAAATAAATAATGAAAGATACTTCAAAATTAGGCCGTTTATGGAAATGGTTAGAAAAAATTGTCTGAAAATAGAAGAACAAAAGAAAATGTCGGTAGATGAGATGATGGTACCCTACAAGGGTACAAAAGCCGGTTGTAGAAGGCAATATATGCCAAAAAAGCCTAAAAAAATGAAGTTTTAAATTATTCGTCAGATGTGGTGTACCTGGAAAAGTATACGATTTTTTACCTTACGGAGGGGATGATACATTCAAAGATAGATATTTCCCTGATGATGAGGAATTTTTTGGTTTGGGTGCCAAGACGGTATTAGTTCTCTGCCAAATAATAAAAAACCCTGAATGTCGCATGCTTTATTTTGATAATTTTTTCTGCTCTCCTAGTTTAGTACAATACTTAAGACACGAAAAAGGAATTCTATCTCTTGGAACATTGAGAGCATATCGTCTACATGGTTTTGGTTTTCCAGATGCGGAATTAAAAAAAAAGGAAAGATAATCTTTTCAGCAGAAATTGGATAACGAAAAAAGAACTTGCATTGTAAAGTGGTTTGATGTAAGTTCGTATGTAAGTGCTTATCCTTTGTCTACTAGTAAAAGATTCTCTAAAGAAGCTAAAAAGAAAATTGAAATACCCTGTCCATCAATTATCAAGCATTACAATGTACATTTGGGTGGCGTAGATTTGGCAGATATGTTAGTTACGCTTCATCGAACATCTTTTAAAAGCCACAGGTGGTACCTTTCATTTTTTCCCAGATACTGGATATATGTGCCAACAATGCTTGGCTTTTATATCGCAGAGATAATAATTTACTGGAGGACGAAGAAAATGATTTTGAAGGATGAAGGAATTTAAAATATTACTTGTTAATTCCCCTCTATTGAAAACTAGAAAAAGGAGATCCGACGGAATAAATACACCGAAAAAGAAGGTTCGTAGTCATATCCAGAATATGCCTGGAGAAGATGTTAGAAAAGATCTTTTTGGATACTTTCCAACTTTTACAACCAAAGGACGATGCCGAAACTGTTTCAAAGGACAAACAACTATGAGTTGTACAATATGTAGAGCGAGATTATGTTTAGTGGAATAGGTACAGTAATTGTTTTTATGATTTTCATAACTAAATTTTTAAATTTTTTAACAACTTATGATTATTACTTTTTACTTTTATTTTTTGAGTGTTCAAATTTTTTTGAAGTTTTGAATTTAAGGTGTAAAAATAAATGTTTGATCATCTTTGTAGTTTATTTATAATTTTTAAATGTAAGTGATTGATATGAATTGATCCAATATTATGTTTATGGTTTAAACCCCTACTTTATGGAATCTGTTCATAATAATTGAAGTAAAACACAGTACCATAATATAGGTTCATTGATTAAATGAAAATTATCAAATTTTCATTATACAAAATATACTGAAAACATTAAACAAATCTACAAATGTTTTGCTAAAAGTCTTAAAAATGATAAATGCCTTTAGAGAAACAATTGTAGATTTGTTTAATGTTTTCATTATATTTTGTGAAAATTTGATAATTTCTTTTAATTCAATGAACCAATATTATTTAATATATTAGTGCAAACTACAAATATACATCTTTTCAATGTATCTTTCTAGATAGGGAGGTATTTATCTAATAACCTGGTAATGTATCTATTGGTCATCAGTACTTATTTTATAGTATTCCTGGCAATGTGTCTTGCGAGGTACATTGTAATGTACGGTACGCCTAGTAGTGTATCTTATGAGATACAATGTCAATAAAATTTAAAAAAATATAAAATAGAAACAAAAATGTAATTGACTCTGAAAATGGAGCCCTCTAAAAATAATATTCAGTAAGCAAAAATATTTTCTTACAACAGTTATATGCGCGCCAAGTTATTGTCATTTTTCACTAAAGCTCTTGACATTATTTCTTCATCTTTTTCTGTCTCCCTCTTTTCTTTTTCAGTCCAAGTGACCTACTTCTTTTAAGCCACTTCCAACCTTTTCTATTTATCTTGGCCTTGGCCTGCATCTCCTCCCACTTGCGATTCTTACGTAAGATCTACTTTTTTGTGTATGCTCCAGTCACCACTGACCATACCCCTTCAAAGAAGATTGAAGGAGGTA